CCAAGATGGACTGGAGTCCAATGACTATCACAGGCATCCAGCAAAGGCAATCGGTGAGAATGATGAAGAAGACCCGTTTGGCAAGTGCTGTTTCCCTCTTGGAGTTTGCCGAGCTGGATCTGGCTTGGATTTCTCTGGCAGTACCCTGCCGGGCCATGCGCCTGCTCGATGCGTAGGACTTGAAGAATATCATCAGATAAGCAATCATGATGAAAAGGAAAAATCCAAAATTCAAGCCAACAAAGAGAGCAACAGAATATTCCCAACCTGCTAGCTTATCTGAAGAAAGCTGCAGCGGCAGACACACAACGGATCTGCCATAGTAAGTATGGTACCTGACGGGGTCATTGAAATACTCAAGGCCAAACATCGGAAAGAATGCAATAAAGAAGGCAACACCCCATATCAAGAAGCACAAGGCATGCGTCATTTTACGTGTAAGAGCACTGCCTTGGTAGGGGTACACAATATTCTTGAGCCGGTCGGCCGAGATCAGAGTCATGGTCATTACAGATACCTCACTAGATAACAAAGAGATAGCTCCAGTTATTTGGCAAGACCATCCGGTCCGCCACTTGTAGTCGTGTAAGTAATACTCGCCCGACCACTGGAGATCTTTGATACCTATAGTCAACAGATACACGGCCATCAAGCCATCAGACACCGCCAAATGCATTAACATGATGGTCTGCACCACGTTCTTTTCCTTGAAGATCAGTCGCCAAATGACAACAAACACTGAGCCAATGAGTGAGAAGATTCCTATCACCCAGATACTTTTCTTTGGGGCCGGATTCCTGAACATGCTCTCACAACTGGCGAAATTGTCGTTGTAAGCAAATTCACAGTCAGCGTCCTCCTTTTTCATATGGCAACACATAAGGTTTGTGTCTGCACTCCTGCAATTCATCAAGTAATATGAAAAGAGGATACAATTAAATTGAGAACGGTACCATTTCGTCCAGTCACCTACAAGGCTCTATTGTCAGATGTGAGTTCAAACGCGAGTTCTTTTGTCATTGCCTTGACTAATTGGCGATTACATAATCTAGTTTTAGTTACTACATAAGCCTAAGACAATCAAGGGTGCATGAACTTAAAATAAACCATGTGTTATCACTATTTGTTTTCGTTACACGCCATACAGACTACAGTCGAAGCTCTCTGAGCGGACACTCTTGTAAGCGGACAGCTTTACTTACAGCCGCCTTGACAAAACCCCGTTTGAACTCTGCAAACTATGTGTCTACACATTCCCGTAAGCAGCCAATTCCCTCAAAACAGCCACCGACACTTATGATGTGGTATGATTTGAATTTTTCTGTTGTTTATAAGCTCCGTACGGCAGGCACCCAAGCTCCAGCTAGTTGCAGACACTTTTTCTGCTTCCTGAGGTTTTCCGCTTACGAGAGCTTGGACTGTAAGCTACTGTATCCCAATTTCATTTTTATGATACAGTGGAACTCCGATATGTACAGTGAAAACCACATTCAAGTTATAGTTATATTTTTATGACTACCAGCTTGAATTACACCACTCAATTGCCCCACCTTTAATTTCGTTCAAACATGAAAAGAATCAGAAGCCTTAAAAGATGTCTGTCTCGTAGTTGATCTAAATCATTATTGATTGAGTCTTACACTCTCATGATTTCCTTCAGGTTCTTGAAAAAGCCATCCGGAAGCTCGTTCATCTCGTTGTAATGCATGAACCTGCAAATTGAACGTTTCCATTATCGCTACATAGTAGTATTATTCCACTTTAGAAAGTAAACTTTTTCCATGTAAATAAAATCAAAGTTACCCAATGGATAAGTCATGGATCAGATTTATGTTTAAACGAAATAAGAATACAACCCTCTGATGGTCAGAGGATGTCACAGACAATGCGTTGCACATCTTGCACAAAAAACATGTACGAGTATGAAAGTATGAAAGATGTACATACTCAACAGTTGATGTACTCACGCACAGCTGTAAAATCTATTTGTTGCACCAAATAATCAATTCAGTGTAACATGGACAGAGAGAAATTTATACTGGCTACCCTTTCGACAAAACTGAGATCAGAGACAAGCTCTAAAATTACTGTTGACAGTCTCCACTACAGAGCTTGATAAAAAAATTACCTTTGGTGCAAGTAAAATATTTTCATACCTCCTACAGTATGTGAATTATAGTACGGGAAAACATTATAAGTAAATGATTCATAGCCACTTTTTTTACAGTTTTGAAACAAATTCACCCTGTTTCAGGATATAACAGCCTGCAGTAAGGTAAAAGGTTTATTTTCAAAATTCCCTAAGTTACGTTTTATCATTTCTTCCTGTCCTTTTATTCTGTACACTGGGCGGGGCATCGTAATGAATCACTTCCTCACATAATTTGAGCTCAATGCTTTGGAATAACATAGTTGCGTGACCGGAGACTGCTTACATTGTTGTTTTCATTATGTTTTACTCTGATAAAGTTATAATTCCATTTCCAAATGAATGCACTGTTTCTATAAATGTTCAAATGGACTGTAGTGATCTCTTGGAAAACATTACTGATATCACTCAATTAAAAAAAAAGTAATTAATGAAACTATTATAGTATAGTTAATCCTTGGGAAAGCTACTCACAAAAATCTCAAGTTTGGAATATCATTGAAAGTTTCAGTGGAAACACTTCGCAGCTGATTGTCAAATATGTTACTGTAAAAAATAAAGAACAACTGAGTGTAAAAAAAAATAAAAATGAATGAATGAATGAATGAATGAACGAACGAACGAACGAACGAACGAACGAATGAATGGATGGATGGATGCATACGTGAACGAACAAATGGTTAGATAGAAGGACAAACATATAAATGGATGGATGGAAGGATGGATGAATTGATTTATGGTTGAGTGAATGATCTAAGATGTCATTCAGAAACAAGCTTGCGTTTACTCTCAAGGAATGACTACTTACATTGACAAAAGGCCTTTCAGACCTTTAAAAATCCCTTGAGGCAAATCCTGAATCCAGTTCTCGGACAGAAAACTTAACAGCAAGGGAAAATAAAAAACAAACTTTTAAAAAGCTAAAAGGACATTATCAATCTGCTATGCGTTCTCCAAAAATTGTAAACCACTACAATGTGTCGCTATAGACAAAAACATTTTACTAGGATATATCTCTGCTGAAAATGTTTTCACTTACAGATCGTATAAATTCACCAAGCCCTGGAACTGATTAGGATGAAGCTTCTTAATTTTATTGTTGTCCAATTTCCTGTGGAGTTTACACGTAGAGAGATATTTTTGAAGTAAACATTAACAAAATAATTAGAGGAGTTCATGAATTCTTTGATAGAGCTGTTTTCTGTCCATGACTGTTCATTGACTTTTAGCTACAAATTGAGGACTTTTTCGGAATCTAACTGGAGAGGTTATTGGCGAATTTCTGGTTAAAACATCTGTAGGACTAATTAAAATAATGAATGAATGGATAAGGTGAGTGGCCTCGTTGCCATTGAAATCACTATTTGTTGCCCTGGGAATCAATATGAAATTGTCTTAGTACTCACAGTGTCTTCAGTGCGGTGAGGTTAGCAAAGATCTTTGGTGGTAATTCCTGAATTTGGTTATTAGGCAGACTCCTACAATTCCAAATAATAAACTTGCAACTATAAGACCGTCATAGAAAGTATACTTTATTTTACATGATCTCTCGCCAGCCTTCTCAAATCGATTAAGAAAGAATTTCTTCAAGTCACGATCAAAATATTGTGTTTCTAAAAAACACAAAACTGCATGGTTCGGTGCACTACATAACATTTTCAAATAACCACAGAAAATGGATTTACTTGTTAAAAGCTTATATAATGTGCTTCTAAATTAATTGTATCTGAAGAACTAATTACATTTATTTTTATTTTCAAGAAAGGCTATGAAATAGTTTACAAAGAATAACGATATTTTTTGTTTGCATGTTTTTTACTTGCTTTCTGTAATTCACATAGAAATATAAACCGGGGAATTTTTTTTGGTAAAACTAAACTGGAAATAACAGGAAAGTCTATTATCATACTGAAAATTCCGTTCATTAATTTGGAGAGAATTTCTTCACTGTCAACAACTGATTCTTTTGGATTATAGATCTATAAAATAAGTACAGCAACTCTAATGCATCTTTAGTGATAATCGTTCGACAGTTTAAACTAAGTCCTACTTACAGTTCTGTGAGTTTTGAGAGGCTACTAAAAAGTCCTTCTGGTAACACCTGGAGATCGTTGTTAGACAAATCCCTAAAAGCGATAACCAGATGTATAATGATACACTATTAGCAGTAATTTATTTAAGAAACATAGATAAATTAATAATTATTATCGTAACAATGAAGTGGACTGAACAAAGAGAACCATAATGGATATCAGTGCCTCCCGAACAATACTGTGACAGCTCTATCCACCATCTTGTATCCACCATCTTGGATTCCGCCATTTGGAATTTGATTATTTTCTCATAATCATAAAAAGCATCAATACAAAACAACAATGGAGTGCTGAAATGACCAATACTGCAAAGTTACTTAATGAAAATTATATATATATTACAACGAAGAATTATAAATTATTTTGAACAAACTTGCCTACATGGTTACCATGGCAATGTAAACAACTGTAAACAAACAGTTGTCACACCATTATGCCCCTGAGGGATGAAGGAGCAGATAATGAAAGTTTCAGGATCTTAGAATAAAACGTAAACAAAAATCTCCCCTTGTATGTCTGAGAGTTTCTTCAGGTTGCTCTGGCACTTCGCCGGTAGCCATTTATACTCCTGGGTGGAGAGAGGCACTGTGAGAGTAAAGTGTCTTGCCCAAGAACACAACACAATGTTTATACTCCTGGGTGGAGAGAGGCACTGTGAGAGTAAAGTGTCTTGCCCAACAACACAACACAATGTTTATACTCCTGGGTGGAGAGAGGCACTGTGAGAGTTAAGTGTCTTGCCCAACAACACAACACAGTGACCCCGGCCAGGCCTTGAACCAGGATCGCTCAATTTGGAGTCCAACACGCTAACCATTAGGCCACCGCGCCCCTCCTTTGAATTGCCCGGACCGCTTTCTTGATAACTGACCGTATTGTAAAATCACAGCCAAGAAACAGCCAATCAGAACACTCGAAATATTCTGGAAAAAGTATCTACCAGATACTGTAACCACAAAAAGTTTCAATTTCATCAACGTTTATATTTATGATATACTGTACCAAGGTCCCATTTGACCTTTGCAAAAGCAAATTTTGTTTTTCCATGAAAACATTTAACTGTGATTTTTTTCTCCATTTATGTAATTTTAAATGAACGTTTGATAGTTAAACGAAATCGTTGTTGACACATATTCCATTGAAAACAATTTGATTTAGTGAAACAATGGCTTGGCAAGTGTGGTACGTAACTGCGATTCGAAAAATGATTATCATGTTGTTATTGGCGGACGATAAAAGATAAAAGAGGATAATCTTAAGTTGCATAATATGAGCAAGTCAAGTTTACTTAGCATACAATTGAACAGTTATTTAAATGTACTTAAAGAACAATATACTCACAGTTCATCCAAGTTGATCAAATCCTTAAAAAGACTTGATGGTAGCTCCTTGATGTTGTTGTCCTGTAACCATCTGCATTCAGGACAGAAAAATACGACGTTAATGTTCTTAACCCATAACCCTTTCTATAGAAGCAAACAACTCAAACAGAATATTTGTGGGGAAAAGGGGTAAGGGATGAAGTACTCCAACAAAGCTTACTAGGTCACTTTTATCTACGGGTGTAATAATCCCCAACGACTGCTAGATATCGCCCTGGGGGTGATAATCCCCCAGGGTACTCAGTACGAGGTGCTAATCCTCAAGAGGGGGTGATAATCCCCCAAGGATACTGAGTCTCAGTACGAGGTGCTAATCCTCAAGAGGGGGTGATAATCCCCCAAGGGTACTGAGTGAGAGGTGATAATCCCCCAGGGTACTCAGTACGAGGTGCTAATCCTCAAGAGGGGGTGATAATCCCCCAAGGATACTGAGTCTCAGTACGAGGTGCTAATCCTCAAGAGGGGGTGATAATCCCCCAAGGGTACTGAGTGAGAGGTGATAATCCCCCAGGGTACTCAGTACGAGGTGCTAATCCTCAAGAGGGGGTGATAATCCCCCAAGGGTACTGAGTGAGAGGTGATAATCCTCTCTAGAGGTGATATCCCCAGGATAGTCAGTGAGAGGTGATAATCCTCTGTAGGGGTCGAATCCCCCAGGTTAAGCAGTAATAAGAGTCTATGGGGTAAAGGGTGACCTGTATGGGAGCACTTCATCCCAGACCCGTCTTTATTTAGACTATTTACATGTAAACTGAAACTATTATTATGCTAAGAATAAGAATGTCAAGTAATATTTGTAAAGGTTCTGCAAACTTAGACAAGTAGGAATGTTCCTTAACCCGAACAAGCTCTGGTACAATAAATACAAATACATTGTGGTTATAAGTAAGGTCTATCTACTCCAAAATGACAGTCAGATTTGAAAAATGAAATGATTATATGAAACTAACAGGCTAACAGAGAGGAATAAAACAGCAAAGGGGGAGGGATAGAGGGGAATTTTAGTTCTGCGATTGAGATTCGCACAAACTATTGCTTAGCAGGCTTGGCGCGTGATTATGAAGATCTACTGTGCACGTGAAAGCTTGCACCTGATTGGTAGAGCTGGATCATGCGACATGAGGGGATGACCGGAAGAGAAGATCGCCAGAAAGGATCACCGGCATGGATCACCGGCATCGGTCGCCGGAATGACCGGAAGTGATCAGTGACCTGGTATATTCTCTCTCTACAAGGGGTCTATGGTTATCACATTAACTTTAATTTATACTGATGTATAAATTAGCTATATTAAAAGAGTTACAGGTCACGCTATGTTAGAAATTATTGCTTTCATTGTTTAAAGACCTGTCCCATGATTAAAGAAAGATACTTCCCCGTGCAATAATTGCCTAATTTTCATCATCGACAAGAGTGGACCCGTCATAGATGACGTCACTGGGGCGTTTTTGTTTTGCAGGCATGTTCTGCTAGAGCTCCAGCACTAAACAAATTGGCCAAATTGCTTTGTATCAGTTCTTGATTCAGCTAAAAACTTATATTGAAATTTTAATTCTTCAAAGAGAACAAGATCAGAAATTGTTCAAGACAAAGATAAAAGCTTAAATTTAACTGTGATGCAAAAAACATACATTAATTAGCCTGACGGGGGTAGCCAGTGGCCAGTTGTTGACATATATCTGCTGCCGAGAATTTCATCATGGAAACTTGTGCAAATTTCTACAGATCTTTCCTGTGGTCTTAGCAGCTGTAGAGGACTAAAATCCAGAATTTTGATATTTCCAGGAGACCCCGAGAGCAGATAGGTTTGCTTTTCGACAACTGGCTACTGGTTACCCCCGTCAGGCTAATTAAAGTCACCCGATACCGTAAAGTCGAAGACAGTTTGGACAAGGCTCTTTCGAATTTACGAAGCGAAGCTGACTCGAAACAAATGCTTCGTAGCGAACGCGTTACATGGATGGAACTGCGTAGCGAATGAACTGACAGGCATCTCTGGTATCTCTGCTTTGATTCTATGATTCGACACTCCGAAATCCAGTGTGTGGCCTTGTCGTTCTTTTAGCAGTGGAAACCCAAGAAAACGATAACTCGCCGAAATCGCGTCAAATCGGCCTGAGAAGCGGGCAGACAACAAAGAATACAACACAGCAACATGGTAAGTCAATTTCATTCATAAAACATTCCAATTTTTACCTTTCAAAACAAAACCGTTGCGTTCCCATACAAACCCTTATAAATCGAATCTTTGTAACACAAAGTAAGGGTCACGTCCCGGTAATCTGATAGAGGGCTTGGGCTGCCTGTGTTCATTTATCCGTCCGTCCGTCCGTCCGTCCGTCCGTCCGTCCGTCCGTCCGTCCGTCCGTCCGTCCGTCCGTCCGTCCGTCCGTCCGTCCGTCCGTCCGTCCGTCCGTCCGTCCGTCCGTCCGTCCGTCCGTCCGTCCGTCCGTCCGTCCGTCCGTCCGTCCGTCCCTCCGTCGTTCGTTCGTTCGTTCGTTCGTTCGTTCGTTCGTTTGGGGAAATCTGCTAGTAAGGGATCCTTGTTTTGCTCCTTGATTTGACGCCCAAGTGTTTTATGCTGAGGCCACATATCGAAGAGGAAAACGCTTCATTGTTGACGTATATAGTATGGATCTTGAAAATGATTAATAAAATATAAAACCAGAACCATGTGACTAATTATACAGTTTGTAAAGTTATTCTAATGATTATCGTAAGTAAAAGTTCCTCACTCACAGCTCACGTAATCCCCTCAAGCCATGGAACAGACTCTCCTTTAACTCTGACAGTTTGTTGTTGTGCAACTGTCTGCATCATCGGTGAAGTTAACAAACATGAATGAATGCATTGAATATTATATCACTTAATAGAAGAAATACAAACATTTGCCTCGCCTGACCATTTCCGATACTGTTCGACCACCTTTTGTAGTATGCAGCTGATAAACTCAGTATTACTCTGTTATATGCAGCTGATAAACAGCTAATGCGCAGCTGATAAACTATTACTCTGTTATAGAAAAGTCAGGTACAACTGCTAAAAGCATTCTTGACAAAACATTTTGAGACCGAGAAAGTGAACATAATTTTTCTCCGCGGCCTAGGATGCTTAATTATTTTTTAAACAAGTGTCTGACAGCACAACATAAAAATGCCAATCAAGATCATGAAACACATGGTATTGAATCAGTGAACAATCATTATTCTTGGCATTGTAAGTAAGAATAACAAAATTCCCTACTTTAAAAAATATTTTCATCAGATCAGTTAGATTAGTTCATGACTTACAAAGTGTAGAGACGTGTATTTGTCTTGAAAATCTCAGCAGTTAGGTTTTGCAATTGGTTATGGCTCAGATACCTACAAATATAATTACCATTAAAAGTAAGGTCATGACTATGAAACCATTATACAATGTTGCTATAAAGTGGACATCAAAGTGGACTGTTAATCAACAAGGAATTAATTAAAATTGAATATGTGTTTGTAACAGATGTTACCTTTGATATTTATGTCTATATTTAGAGAAACATTTAGAGAAATATGTAAGAACATTGAAGAACCGTAGCAAGGGTTGATCATTTCGATTAAAAAAAAAAAACATTCTCTGGCTAAAAAGTTTAAAAACTGACCGAGCGTGCTGATTCCTGACTGCAGTCTTCAATGGGTGAAAATGTATGGTGAAAACGTGCATGAATTAAAACAATTTAAGAAGTAACATACATAAATTATAGGAACAAATAAATTAAAAATGTTTGTCCAAAAGAATGCTGTATTGTCTTGGTAATGGGCAAGAGTTATTGTCCGCCTCGTTAGTTACCGTGCGATAATTTCCTCTGTCAATGATGGAATCAATGCGATGGTCATGAGACCACGCATGGTTCATGATATTTCAGCCTTTGGTGCACGATTTTACATTTCTGATGTGTTCTTTTTTTCTAGTAGAAATGAAATTATTTGATTATTTTTCAAACGACGACATGCTTTTGGAATGAAATTCTGTTTTTGAAGAGAGTGTCCTCAACCTTTTTGCAACTCATTGTAGCTTTCCAATTTTAAATCATAACGTACATATGCATGTAGATTAAGAAAAAATACATGCGAGATATTACTGAAAAATCATTTTTAATGCCTGCTATCAAGAAGGAAAACACTGAGAAAAGCCGCCGAAGTGGTCCTCCAAATTTAACATGACTAACTATAAGTTCAATGTCACGCGATCGCATTATTTCTTTCACTTAAAATACAAAACCAGAAACTTCAAATGTGCTGTCTGAGAAGAATATGTTTGTAATGCTACTAAAATGCTACTATTAACTGCTTATAACAAGTAACTGTTTCTTTACTTACAGATAGTGTAAGTTGACCAAGCCAGTAAATAGATCACCAGGCAGCTGCTTAAGATTGTTGCTGTACAATTCTCTACATCGTTAAAAAGCAAGAATGTTAACATTCATGAATATTTATTTACAATATTAATTTATACCTTGAGTAGCCCTCATAACAGCCCTTTACACGGTTAACAATACAGTTTTAAAACAGATGAGAACTCCATATACAACTCATTTAGTTAAAGTTTGCCGTAAAGACCGTAAGACGATCTATCTGTTACTTATGCGAATCTACGCTTTATTAATGGAGAAAACTTGTTTTATATTTTTTCTAAAAACAACGTAAACTAAAAGAATTGTAGTTGTTCTACATTTTAAAACTGATTTTATCCCGGGGGGGGGGGGGGGGGGGGGGGAGGGGGGGAAGCTACTTCCCATACATTCTCTTAAATCAAATCCAAACCATGCTCTTACAACTTGCAAAGGCAATCATCACAACTTTAGCCAGCGGATTCATAATCTGCACGTGCGTAGACGTGCGTAGAAGTTGTGTAAAGCCAGAAGGAAAGCTATAAAAGAAAAACATGGCGGCCGATGAGGCGATGGAAGTGCGTACTGATGTATGAATGATTATTGTATTTTTTCACTTTGTGATCCTTTAAACCAGATAAACTTCTTCCTCAAGTTTTTCGTTTTTAAGATGCAACCACGACCGCGATGACAACAAGAACGTCACAAAACAATAGGTTTAATTAGTAATACAATATTCTGCACGAGTGTTTTGCATATTTCTTTGCCGTCCCATGCAAAACAAAACGAACGTGCGTTTTGCATTTACATTTCTTTGCCTTCGTATGCAAAACAAAAAAAAATCAAATGTCCAAATTCAACACGCGAAGGTTAATTTTCCTTTTTCTGTCCTGGACTTGAACTCACGAATTCAGCTCCTGGAAAGTTCGGCCACATTGGACAAATTGAACGTGTTGGAATAATCTCGAAATAGTTTACAGGAACGTGAATTAATTTTTAAGGAATTTTGCGCGCGAAAACAAGCCTTAAGAAAAACACCGCTGACCAAAACGAAATTGATCGCTTTGCAAGTTGTGAGAGCATGGTTCTCGGTCCCAGGCCCTGTCTCTACCCCCCCCACCTGTTTTATCCTAAACAAAATTTAAGGAGCTCAAGAAAAAACACGATTTTTTGCAGCTTGTACCCAAAATTGCCTCACTTCTATGTTGAACTGTATGATACAATTTTCCTTGTTACAACAATTTGGTCTGGAAGATCTTTGTACGCAATAGTTTCAGGAGTGTCAACACCGGCCATCAGTTTTTACTCAAAAATATTTTTATTCGTTTTATTGGACTCACCAACATGGAAAGCATCTGTCTACCATCGATAGAAATCCTCTTATTAAGAAAATCTGACACTTAAGCACACTTAATCTGACACTCAAGCACCTGCCTTCAAAACAGGCTTTTCTAGGATGAGCACAAAGCGCGAGGGAGCTGGGTGAGCGCGAAGTGCGAGGGGAGGGAGCTTGGAACGAGCGGGGGGTGACGTCTTTCCCCGCGCACCCTCTGCTCAATTATCCCAGCCGGCGTGTGCGTGCTCGTGAGCGACTGGGGACGAGGCAGCTTAAGCACACTTAATCTGACTACTAAGTTGACAGTCTTACTAATTTTTAACCACATTGATGTCAGAGCTAATGTTTTAAAATTTCATGAGATGTTTATATTAATTAAACATTGCTTCGCAAATTAAAGTAAGTACAATATGCTATTTATTTACAAAACCTTTGGCTAAACAATCTACCGAAATATATTTTGATTACAAAAGTTTTTATATTTTTTATCTTATTTACCAAGTAAACCGTCTTACTTACAGCCAAAATAACTCAGTATTGTTGCTAAAACTCCCTCAGGCAACTGCTGCAGCTGATTGTTTGATAAGTAACTGCAAAAATGAACACAAGAAAGTGGTTTAACATGAATGTTAAAGATGAAAACCATTTTGAGGTTGAGATAAGGTTATACATATCAAGAAGATAAATCTAATCCTAGCAGTATGCGGGATGTTTGTCACATTTGAACCTAGTTATATGGCCTTAGCTCCCACGAGTCTCCTGTAGCCTCAGCGGTAGAGCGTCCGACCGGTGTGCGGAAGGTCATATGTTCGACTCCTGTTGGTGGAACTCGGAATTTTTGGTATATCTGGGGAGGCTTGTAAGGCCATCCCCATAAAATGTTTTGTTTCCCATCGCCCACTCTCTCGTGAAAGTGGGTCGGTCGGTCGGTAAAAAAATAAAAAAAATAAAAGCCGAGAAACGAAATATTGACTAATATACATAAATAATTTCAAGCGAGCGTTGACTATATCTTCCCCATGACCACCATTTTGAAACGAGCCGATATGACTCTGAAGGGTGTTCGAAGACGTCATCACTGGGCTGATTTAGATGTCAGAATGATTTTAAGATATAAACAAAGCATTTTAAGCTTGGTAACACCCAAGAAAAGGTCGCAGGCAATTAATTACAATTTTTTTCTTTTTACTTTTTGAAAAAATTGGGTTGGTGGGGCGATGGGAAACAAACATTTTATGGGAATGTTCTAAACGGAATAAAAAAAAAGTCTCAGTCAGAATGAGCCGACGAGAAACAAGTCGATGTAGCAATATCAAGATACGTTTTCCATTTACTGGTCTTTAAGTCCTTATAATATTGAGAACAAATCCACATTGCAAGTAAGAACATTGACGGAACTGGAACATAACCAAACGGAAGAAAGAAAAGTAATATGATGTTAAGTTCAAAAATGTCTGTGAGTACATTTATAGTAAGGAAATAAGGAAAAGTAGGAGGGTTAATATCGGGGTGGGGGCTTATAATTGGAATATTTTTTTGCTAGCAGGGAGATGGGGCTATAACCGGGGGAGGGCTTATAACCGGGATTTTATGGTACATGTATTACAAAATCAGAAAAACCATATTTGTTGGCTCAATATTTAAATAAATTCCAAGAAAAGAATGGCCACATTTGAATATAGCTTGGGTACATTCTGCCCCTCTCCCCTACTTCCCGGCTGGATGGGATCAATGCTGTTTTTGTAGCTGAGGAAGAGTCCAGATCTACCAACATGGTATTATCTGTGAAAAATGTTGTTCCATTGAATTCATTTTTCGCCTGAAATGTTTCGAAATTCAAACCAGAACCGAAGTTTTTCCATTTTTTTCAAAGTTATAGTACAACATGAATTTTCTGTCCATTCATTACGTGAAAAGTTCAAACCAGTTATGGAAACCTCTCAATGGCATGAGTGATGTAAAATCAGATACAGTGTAGCTCACTGTTCCTGGCCTAATTTGCCTCGTTTGTACTTGCTTCGCTTTATTACTCACTTTCAGGCCTGAGAACACAGCCACTTCTGGTAGTGCAGTGAAAACTCGGCCAGATTTAAAAAACACTCACCATGCATTGCCAGTGACCTATTTCAGTGTTTCTTTGCCCCAGCAGAAGTGTTTAAAATTTATTGAAATAAACGGGACATGTTTTTCCTTTTTTTCCCTTTATTTTTGACCCAATATATCAGTTTCAATAAACATGTCTACTGGACTCACTTTCCTTCTAATTCTCATTAACCAGTCACAATTTCTCATTCCTCGTTTTCACATCAGTTTAATCATGTCAACTGAATAAGTTAAATTTAACAAAGATTCTTGGGTCAGAAGCCATGCTGTTAAACCACTGGCGAATGAAAGAAATTGCTGTATCCCACGATTTCTTAAAAACTTTAATTGTGTTAGTAAACAGCTGGTTACAGCTTCCTGTTATGGTTCTGATGCTACTTACTGTATTAACCTTTCACTCCCAGAGTCAAACCTTGAGTCAATAAATGAACTTTAATTTTTGAGTCTGTGGATGAAACCCTAGTGTGTGACCTTCACATTAAAGCTATTGAGCAGTACTTTCACAGTGGTGCTGTTTGTTTGTGACAATTTTGCAAAATGAAAATTAAATATTTTTCCTTAGTTTTAGAACTTAGCACTCTTGGGAGTGAAAGGGTTAACCCAAATAATTATCTTACCATACGCCTGTCGTTTTCCAACTGAATACTCTTGTTCAGGTTATCTTTTTATTATATCGCAGCAAGCCATAGCTTACATTGTTTAGTAAACAATCAAACAGATGGTGTCCCAACAATCAAACAAAGCGACAACATGATGGCAAGCTTTGAAAATCGATTAGATCGGCCTTGCATTCCGGGCCTAAACAGTTGCTTTATGGTAGTTTTCCAATGAAATTTGACAATACAAAGAAGAGAAAAACTTCAATTTTGCTAGCTTTCCAATTTTAGATTATAACGTAAAGAAAAACGTGAGATATTACTGAAAAACCATTTTTAATGCCTGCTATCAAGAAGGAAAACACCGAGAAAAGCCGCCGAAGTGGACCTCCAACATGACTAACTATAAGTTCAATGTCACGCGATCGCATACACACAATAATTTTATTTCTTACACATAAAAAACAAAAACAGAAACTTCAAATGTGCTGTCTCAGGAGAATATGTTTTGTAACAAAAATGCTGCTATTAACTGCTTATAACAAGTAACTGTTTCTATACTCAGGCCCGTAGACAGGATTTTGAATGGGGGGGTGCGTTGGAGGGGCCAAAGTTAGAGTTGTACGAGCGCCGATTTTTTGCAGCTTGTACCCAAAATTGCCTCGCTTCTATGTTGAACTGTATGATACAATTTTCCTTGTTACAACAATTTGGTCTGGAAGATCTTTGTACGCAATAGTTTCAGGAGTGTCAACACCAGCCATCAGTTTTTTTACACAAAAATATTTTTCTTCGTTTTATTGGACTCACCAACATGGAAAGCATCTGTCTACCATCGATATAAATCCTCTTATTAAGAAAATCTGACACTTAAGCACACTTAATCTGACACTCAAGCACCTGCCTTCAAAACAGGCTTTTCTAGGATGAGCGCAAAGCGCGAGGGAGCTGGGTGAGCGCGAAGTGCGAGGGGAGGGAGCTTGGAACGAGCGGGGGATGACGTCTTTTCCCCGCGCCCCCTATGCTCAATTATCCCCGCCGGCGTGTGCGTGCTCGTGAGCGACTGGGGACGAGGCAGCTTAAGCACCCTTAATCGGACTACTAAGTTGACAGTCTTACTAATTTTTAACCACATTTATTTCAGAGCTTATGTTTAAAATTTCATGAGATGTTTATATTAATTAAACATTGCTTCGCAAATTAAGGTAAGTACAATATGCTATTTCTGTACAAAACCTTTGGCTAAACAATCTACCGAAATATTTTTTGATTACAAATGTTTTTATATTTTTTATCTTATTTACCAAGGAACCGTCTTACTTACAGAATAATCAGCTCAGTATTGTTGCTAAAAACTCCCTCAGGCAACTGCTGCAGCTGATTTTTTGATACGTCACTGCAAAAATGAACACAAGAAAATGCTTTAACATGAATGTTAAAGATGAAAACCATTTTGAGGTTGAGATAAGGTTATACATATAAGAAGATAAATCTAATCCTAGCAGTATGCGAGATGTTTGTCACATTTGAACCTAGTTATATGGCCTAGAGCGTCCGACCGGTGTGCGGAAGGTCATATGTTCGACTCCTGTTGGTGGAACTCGGAATTTTTGGTATATCTGGGGAGGCTTGTAAGGCCATCCCCATAAAATGTTTTGTTTCCCATCGCCCACTCTCTCGTGAAAGTGGGTCGGTCGGTCGGTAAAAGAAAAAAAAGAAAGCCGAGAAACGAAATATTGACTAATATACATAAATAATTTCAAGCGAGCGTTGACTATATCTTCCCCATGACCACCATTTGAAACGAGGCGATATGACTCTGAAGGGTGTTCGAAGGACGTCATCACTGGGCTGATTTAGATGTCAGAATGATTTTAAGATACAAAACAAAGCATTTTAAGCTTGGTAACACCGAGAAAAGGTCGCAGGCAATTAATTATAATTTTTTTTTTTTTACTTTTTGAAAAAATTGGGTCGGTGGGGCGATGGGAAACAAAACATTTTATGGGGATGGCCTAAACGGAATAAAAAAAAAGTCTCAGTCAGAATGAGCCGATGAGAAACAAGTCGATGTAGCAATATCAAGATACGTTTTCCATTTACTGGTCTTTAAGTCCTTATAATATTGAGAAACAAATCCACATTGCAAGTAAGAACATTGACGCAACTGGAAACATAACCAAACGGAAGAAAGAAAAGTAATATGATGTTAAATTCAAAAATTTATGTGAGTACATTTATAGTAAGGAAATAAGGAAAAGTAGGAGGGTTAATATCGGGGTGGGGGCTTATAATTGGAATATTTTTTTGCTAGCAGGGAGATGGGGCTATAACCGGGAAAGGGCTTATAACCGGGCTTTTATGGTATTACAAAATCAGAAAAACCATATTTGTTGGCTCAATATTTAAATATATTCCAAGAAAAGAATGGCCACATTGAATATAGCTTGGGTACATTCTGCCCCTCTCCCTACTTCCCGGCTGGATGGGATCAATGCTGTTTTTGTAGCTGAGGAAGAGTCCAGATCTACCAACATGGTATTATCTGTGAAAAATGTTGTTCCATTGAATTCATTTTTCGCCTGAAATGTTTCGAAATTCAAACCAGAACCGAAGATTTCCTTTTTTTCAAAATTATAGTACAACATGAATTTTCTGTCCATTCATTACGTGAAAAGTTCAAACCAGTTATGGAAACCTCTCTTCCGCACGCACATGATAATTTTACAGGTTTCCCGATAATTTGCATAATCAATGGCATGAGTGATGTAAAATCAGATACAGTGTAGCTCACTGTTCCTGGCCTAATTTGCCTTGTTTGTACTTGCTTCGCTTTATTACTCACTTTCAAGCCTGAGAACACAGCCACTTCTGGTAGTGGCAGTGAAACTCGGCCAGATGTAAGAAACACTCACGATGCATTGCCATGCAGTGACCTATTTCAGCGTTTCTTTGCCCCAGCAGAAGTATTTACAATTTATTGAAATAAACGGCAGTATATTTTAAATACAGTGGGACATGTTTACCTTTTTTCCCTTTTATTTTAACACAATATGTCAGTTTCAATAAACATGTCTACTGAACTCACTTTCTTCTAATTCTCATTAACCAATCACAATTTCTCATTCC